ATATGAAGGAGGGACGAACTACAAAGTGCTTGACTCCCCCCCCCCCCCCCCCCCCCCAAAACCAATGATCCAGATCCAATCATGTGACATGGTACAGGAATGAATTTGTGAAAATGCACAAAAGTTCCTATTCCAACCATTACAAGTTTTAGTACTTTTGTTTTACTGGTTAAAGCATAATTGTGGGCAGGGCACTTCCTCGATAGAGTTGGGTTTTGGGAATTTGAACCATATGCTTTCAAAAAAGTCATTCAATCAAGGCTTGGTTTTGCGGCGAAACCAACCCGCGAAACCAAGGAAATTGATTAAGATTTGAGGTCTCGGTTCGTTTTCCTTGGTTAGGTTTTGAAGTTAATGATCAGAGAGACGACTCTATGAAAAGAATTTTAATTCCGTGAGAATTTATAAGGCTTAGATAGAAATTATGGTAGCTTTGGAAAGAGCTGATAAAAGGTTCATGGCTCTGCCTTCTCAATTCTCGTTGTTCCAACAATCAGTACAATATTTTCGTACTTTAAGAGTCTTTTACTCGAGGGAAAAACCGACTTTTCATGTGACGAATTTCACATTGATATTTTTTACTTAAGAATCAGGTCGGGTGTTTGGTCTAGTGGTATGATTCTCGCTTCGGGTGTGAGAGGTCGCGTGTTCGATTCTCGCAACACCCCTACCATCCTTTTCTTTTTCCCAAAGGAAACCACCGCAGAACCCTTTCACTGTTCAACAAAAGCACTTCTTAGCATATTAAGTGTAATTGCTGTGTCATACTTTTTTGGAGTAGAACGAGTTAATTTGTAGAAGAATAACTTGACAACATCCGTGACCTTCATAATGTAATAGACGCTTTAGAGGTTGTTCAACATCCGTGATTGAAGTCAAGGACATTCAGGAAAGTTACTGACATTATATAAAAGTTTATATCAATTTTCGCCTGGTGATTTTGATACAATTTTTGCCTGGTGATGTTTCCACTTTAATTTGATAGTGAAGCTTCTCTTTGTTTGTCCAACCGCAGAAGTGGAATAATGGCATTTTCTCTTGATAGTAAATCGAAACAAGACCAGGACATTCAGGAAAGTTACTGACATTATATAAAAGTTTAGCAGCATTCAAGGATAATGATGCAGCTCTTTAAAAGAAAGAGGAACTACCAAAAGGAAAAGGCTAAAAAGGCACCGGAAAAAGGGACCTTTGTCTGACAATCACTGGCTTTTTACCCAGAAAATACAATATGAAAACTGCTTCTTCATTCGTAAACTATTCCTATGATTTGTCATTTTCTTAGTATCCATCACGCACACTATTATTTTAGGCTCAGCACAAGAGTTCCTACTACAAGTTAGTAGTTTTTTTTTTTTTTTGGGGAAATACACTGCAAGTTAGTAGTAGTTGGTACCCCAGCTTAGAAACTGGCCTAAGGTAAGAAATTTTTTTAGCTATGATGGAAAAATAAGTTGCCCTTTTCTCATCAAGTATGCTGCCTTCGAAACGTACACTGGTTTCCAATGAATTATATAGTAGTGTATAAATTTAAAAAACCACAAAATGTAACAGTAAGGATGATCTCTGAGAGATGCATAATTAGGAGTGCTTGCAAGGAGGTAGTGGAGCTCCACACAAGCCAGGATTGCCTAAAAATGCAGTCTTTGGGATGGTGGCGTTGTGAGCAGGAATTCTTCCACTTAGCTTGTTCCCAGCGACGTCAAAATCTTGGAGCGATTTTAGATTCAGAACTTCTTCCGGGATTTCACCACTCAAATAGTTATGCGATAGCAGTAAAGTCATCAGTCCACTTAATTTTCCTAGTGACTTCGGTATGGACCCTTCTAGTCGATTGTGCGACAGAATTAGGATAACAAGGGAAGCTAATGACGGTTCGCCTCCAATGGCCTCCTCCATGGAACCACCAAATAGATTGTAGGAAAGATCAATGGAGTTATAGCGCCCAAGTGGATCTTGGAAATGTTTCGACAAAATGGTTTTCAGCCCTCCCGAGAATTTGTTGGAGTGAAGATCAAGATCCATCAGAAGGGAGAGATTCTTGAATTCCTCCGGAATTGAAGAGTGGAATGCATTCTTCGATAAATTCAGATAGGAGAGGTTTGTCATGTTTCCTATCCAATTGGGCAATTTTCCTGTCAGTGCATTGTCTGATAAATCCAGAGTTGACAGTGATGATGAAGCCAACCATTGTGGAAGCTGTCCTTGGAGACCTGTTTTAGCCAACAAGAGGCGAAATACCTTTAATTCTTGGAACCAATTGGGTATGCTCACTAGTCCAAGAGGATTAAATGACAGGTCCAACGACTGTAATCTCTGCAATTGAGCTACCTGTGGAGGGATCGGACCACTGAGTTGGTTTCGTGACAAATCTAGCGTCTGTAAGTTTCGCAGATTGCCAAAACTTGATGGGATCTTTCCTGTGAAGATGTTATTGGAGAAGAATATATCTGTAAGACCAGCAAGATGTCCTATGGTTGCAGGTAGTTTCCCAGTAAGCCTGTTGTTCTCAAAGATCAGTCGTTGAATATTCCGAAGATTGCCAATTGATGCTGGGATGCTGCCAGTTAACGTGTTGTCTGATAAACGGCAAAACTGTAATGAATAGAGTCCAGAGATAGAAGGAGGTATGCTTCCACTAAGCTGATTATGATTTGCATATAACAGCACTAAATTGGAGAGGCCACCAATTGATTCTGGTATCTTTCCAGTCAATTGGTTATACGAAAAATCAACATACTCTAGATCCTTGAGATTTCCAAGACTTTCTGGAATACTACCAGAGAAGCTGTTTTGGAAAATGTCAAGCTTAGTTAGTGAAACTAACTTGCCAATAGAAGACGGTATTGGACCGGACAGTCTATTTCCTGAAAGCCCAAGTTCTGAAAGCAATGTTAAAGATTCAAAGATAGGTGAAGGTACAGTACCAGATAGCTGATTGTCGCTGAGATATAGCTTCTTCAGCTTGTATAGATATCGCAATGCAACAGGTATGGATCCCGTAATCTTGTTTGAATCGAGAAAAAGAAGAGTTAGGCGCGATAACTTGCCAAATTCGGGAGGAATGTGACCCTGCAAATCCTTGAGGTTGCTGAGGTCGAGCAATTGAAGATAGGAGATGTTGGCAAGCAAAGGAGATAAAGTTCCAGACATGGATGTATCGAGTATGAAGTCATCACCAGTAAGGCCAGATCGAGAGACGTTCACTACTCTGCCAGAGGTGTCACAAGCGATACCCTGCCAGCTTTTACAGCAATCTGTTGTTGGAGTCCATGTATGGAGCAATTTTGAGGGGTCTGATGTGATCTTGTTCTTGAAGTCTAGCAGCGCTGCCTTGTCCGCTGGATGACAAGCATCAGATGCTAAGAATGAGGCAGAGAAGAGGAAGAAACTGAACATTAGCAGAAGTGCCCTTCTTTGGCACCAGGTGCATATATGATTCAGCACCTTTGTCATTGTGAATTCTGAGTAATATGCAAATGAGCTTTTTGGCTGAAGCTGCACACTGTTAAATGGTAGTGTGCGGAATTAATTCAACCTTTGGGAGTGATTGGTCTTAGATAGCTTACAAGACGTTCTGCTTGCAATTATGAAGCGTACAGATTCGGTAAAATATAATTAAACATGCTTGCCTAGTATTTTTTTTTTTTTTTTTAAGTTCTATTTATATTTGGAAAGAGATTGGAGTCAGAAATGTTTCTTGACTTTGTCTTCTCTCAAGTCTTAATTGATTATGCAAATGGAGGGGATAATGACCAAGACCGAAGCTCTGGAGCAAGTGATCCATTTCCAACTTTTTCACGAGTGGTTAATGATTCTCCCGAGGCCTAAATGCCTGCGCAGCTGTCCTCGGAGCTGTTGACCCGAGGGAAATGGAAAAAGATTAGCTGCCGATTGCAAGACTTGGCCAGTCACCATTATTTAAGAGGGTATGCTTTCGCTCGTGATGCTTCTTCATTCTGAGTTTAAGAAAAATGTTGGGAGCAGCAGCCTAAGACTGATCATTCCGCCAGTTAGCTGTATCGTGATTCTCCCAACCGCCAAAGCGGATAAAAGTTGACTGCGGGTCGAAGTTGGGCATGAGCTCCTCCATCCTAGTGGCAGTGGAGGTTAAACAATAAAGTTGAAATCATGAAGAGAATTTGCACCATTAAGCATTTTATCCTCCCTTTCTAGCGGGGGTGAAGGTTTTTGAAGCATATGATTTGCAGACAGTGGAAAATGACAGGGACAGCTGATAAAACAAATACATAAAGTTCCAAGCACCATTAGAGTTGAGGATACGTGGCTAGACCCAAAGAAACAAGTTGGGAAGTATCAGACTCGATGGTTCAAAGTCACCATCATCCATCAAGAATTACAAACCAGAGAACAAAATGCTCCATAATTTGTTACTACTTCAGAGTGGATGCTGTCTGCCAGTTTCAATGGCCAAAAAGCACAAACAATAATATAATGTGTCTGATCCAAAGAAGCGTCAAATAAGTTGTACTATTGAAGGTGGAAGGAACTTTCTTGAATAGCAAGCGAGGACTATATGGAACAGAAAGAAAGTGTTATCCTCATTTTACCAGAACATTAGGATTTAGTCCAGGTTGACATCTACACTTCCTACCTCAAGGCTAAAGTTAAGAGATCCATAAATTTCCTACTGATGATGCGGCTACTTAAAAATTATTAACATCATCAGGGGATAAATTTTGCTTTTTTCCATGCTCTCAAAATCTTGAAAACATTTATAGTAATACAATTCACGGGCTTCTAGTGCAGAAGGTAAAACCACATCCCAAATCTTCCCCATCCACACGGGAACTCCAACACACCGAAAGAGGGAAAACCATGGAAAAATGATACAAATTTCAGCCAATAATAATCACCAGAATACCATCCTAGATCATAAGCTCTGTATCATTTCTTTGCCTTAGGAAATGCTGACTCCTGGAGGCCAGGAAGCTAGTTAGACTAGCATTTCCTTTCGTATCTCTCACAACTCTCAAACAAAAAGAGATCATTTCTTCTACTCTCTCTCTTAAACTCTGGAACAACATACATAATATTGAATGAAATTCGTGTCCATCATATCTTCTCTTTTCTGTACTAAATTCCCTAGTGGGTCTTAGCCTCGGGCATAAACAAACTGCACAAATGCATTCCTGAGGATAAGAAAATAGCAGGTCAATCAATGGCATTGGGAAGGGCACAGTAGCCTTGATGCTATCTGTTTCGATTCAGGCCCTCATTGATCTCTATCTTGAATCATCATCACATGGGATGGGAGTCCATGTCTTCTTCAACTACCTCGCCTTGTTTCCATTGAAAGGTGAGTCACATAATCTGGAAATATTTCTTTATGTCAACGTCTTTATTAATTTTCTAGTACAAGATTATCATTTATCATTGGCATCCCTAACACAAGCACACTTCATACACTATACACATAAATCTCTCCCTCCCCGGGAAGAGAATCACGAATTGCCCATCTAAAAATTGAAGGAATTACTACAACATAAACACAAGACCCCATTATACCTATTCTCAAGGAATAAATGGGGCAAAGGCTTTGCACTCCATCAAAGACTTCTGCTCCCCACCATCACAAAAGAATAATCTCAGTGGACACCGGTACAAGCAATTGTCTCCCAAATTAATCGTAACCGAACCCGGTTTCAAACCCAGAAACTGCCCCGGTATGGGTCCGAACAAGTAGTTTCCCCCAAGCAATAGCCTCTCAAATTGGGAGACCCCTTGACCCTGCGGCAACAGTACCTTCAGGGCGTATTGTGTCGGAATCATGCCCGTCAACTTATTGTTTTCCAACGCCAAAGCTGACAATTTGGGCATCATGCCCAAGAACCCAGGCAGAAACCCACGGATCTCATTATTACTCAAATCAATAGCAATGACCTCACTATTCAGACCTGAATTCGCCGGAGCCTCGACCCACCCGAGTTGATTATAAGACAGAGTCAGCTGTTCCAAGGACGGGTGAGTGAACAGGCTCGCGGGAACTGACCCGCTGAATTTGTTATGACTCAGGTCCAAGACTTGTAGATAAGGCAAGTTACTCAAACTAGCCGGAAGGCTTCCCTCTATGCTGTTATTCCTCATGGAAAGCTCGACGAGGGATGCCGGAAATGTGGCAAGAAGCTCCCCGGAGATGGCATTGTTACTAGCATCAAGAAAATAGAGGTTGCCCAGTTGGCCCAGCTCAGGGAACGGGCCAGCGAACTTATTCCCTTGAATTTCGAGCCTTTTTAAATTAGACAACCCGTTGAGACTTGATGGGATCGTCCCCTCAAGATTGTTGTTATCGAGGTACATCTCCTCGAGGCTGGAAAGAGCGCCGAGCGAGTCAGGCACCGATCCCGAGAACGAGTTGCCGGAAAGACCGAGTTGCTGAAGCCGAGTCAAGTAGGAGAAGGAGTCGGGAATCCCGCCAGTGAAATGATTCCCGGAGAGATCAAGCTTCTGAAGATAAGGCAATTCCCAGGAAACAGAAGCGAGTGAGCCCCAGTAACCCGCCTGGTCAAGAGCGAGTTCGGTGACTCGGCTCCCGGAAGGCAGGACGACGTCACACCTCAGGCCGCAGGTGAACTTATCGCCGAAAAGATTATCACACGGGTCGACCCCGAAATCCCAGGAGCTCAAACACGAGCCAGGAGTCACCGACTTGGGGTCGACGCTGTCTTTGAGCTGCTTCAAGACTGAAACATCTTTCCAATATGTTTTAGAGTGTGCATGCAAGAACATTAGCTGGAGGATGATTAAGACCAGACCTGAAGAAAAAGAGAGTAGAGAAAGAGAGCCCATCTTGTTAATTTGCTTAGTCTTTCAGTTTCTGGAATTTATGAAGTGAAGAGTGTAGTACTTATTAGTAGATAAGATAAGGGAAGCAGAAGGAAGGAAGGAAGGAAGGGAGGACGGAAAGAAGTGGTGATGGATGATGCTGGAGGCAGGGTGGGATTTTGTCCTTGGGGTGCTGTGGGGTTTCAGTGCTGCAGCTTTCAGTGTTGATAGTGCCACACAAAGAAAGATCTTTTCATTTCATTTGGGAATTGGAAGGAAACATAGGAGGCATCGGGGGTTGTGATGCAAGAGAGGGTGAGTGCTTTGATCACGGGTGGAGGTGTCAGAAATACAGACTTCTTCTGCAGAGAGGAGGAGTCCCACAGGAGAATCCACCATTACTGACTACACTTTTGCTTATGTTTCTTTGATTAACACTACACTGCTGTATTTAGCAAAACAAGAGATAATTTTTAAAAAAAAAATAAAAAAAGAAAAAGAAAACAAAGGAACACTAGAGAACCAGTGATTAATGAAGGGTGGGGGGAGCTGGAAGCCAGGAATTGAATTTGGTAGGGAAATTGCTGTGCTGTATCTGTCCCGGGGAGCCATGCGACTAAGCAATTTATAGTCATAGAAAGTGGGGATCCTTTTTTTTTCGAAAAAAAAAAAGAAAGGGAGAATCTTTTTCTTTTTTTTTTTTAAATAAGTTAAAAATCTTCCAGCCAGCTTCAGCTTCTAACGTTAACTGGCAATGCATTAACTGAACGCCTTCATGAAATAAAATAAAATACACTGCTGTCCCGCATCACAGTTTTCTTTAGGTGGAGTTGATTACTTTGAGTATATATCGGACCACTGTTCTCTCTGTCTCTCTCTTTCTTTCTTTCGGATAGAATATTATTTAAAATATTATTTAAAATGATTATGATAATATTTTTTATGAGATGATATATATGAGATAAAAAAAATTAAAAATATAAAAAAATTAATTAAAAAATATGTTTATAATACAAGCAAAATATTATTTTGAATAATTTGCTATCCATTGTATGAAGGAAAAAATTCTTGCTCTTGGTTTTGAAGTCGATATACAGACCTTACTTGAATTTTTTTGGCTGCAAATGGGAGTTGAATCCCCACCTATTGTCCCTTTTTTATGGCCACTGAGTCAAACTCAGTGGTTTAATCTTTTAATGTCATTCGAGAAGAGGTATTAGGGAGAGAGTTGCAAATGTTACATAACTAACCAAAAAAGGGGCTTCTTTGTGAAAATGATTATTGAAAATGGTTGGTTGTGCAATCAACTTTACACGCGTAATGCTACAAATCTTGCCTTAAAAAAAGGGAGTAAAGCTTGTGTCTCCTGTTAATCATTTTTCGAGCAAGAGGAATTCCATTTTCCATTCCTCTTAATTATCCTGTAAAAACATATGTTATTCTTGGTTTTGATGATCACAAAATAATTTGAAATGTTTATACTAACCAAGAAAGTGAACACTTTGATCAGGTCTGATGGAACAAAGAAAGCATATGTTCGTTTATCTCCTGACTACGTTGCTTTGGATGTGGCAAACAAGATTGGAATAAAATGAATGAATTTAGTCATTGTTTTGTTCCAATCAAAGATACTGTCCTTTAAGTATGACAATTTTGCTATTCTTGGTATTTTGAAATGTATCTAACCTTCTTCGATTATAAGTGTCTTTACATATCAAAGAATCAGGTATGAATAGGTCATGAAATGCATTTCAACCAAAAGAAGAAGCAAAAACAGGATACTCACGTCGGACGGCCGAAAGGATCCGAAAGGATAAAGAGCATCAAGAAGGAAGCTCTGTCGGACGCTCGTGAGGAAGCATCGGACGTCCGGAAGGATCGGACGCTTGCCATCGGACGCTCATCAACCGCATCGGACGTCCGAAAAATTCCAAGCTGACTTGCCAACTCTCTGCCTACGATCGGACGCTGCGGTGTCGGACGATCAAGACGCATCGGACGTCCGAACGTCAACTTGGATGCCATCGGACGATTGGTTCGGACGATGATTTGATCGTCGGACGTCCGACAGCCCCAACGGCTAGTTGACTCTTCAGCTGCCTTCTATCCGTTGGAAGCATTGATGAAGCCCATTTCTGGTTCCCTTTAAAATCAAACTGGTCTGAACGAAGTAGGAACTTTTGGCACACTTTGTTTACAAGATCTAGTGAGATATTTTAGCCAGAAAATAGTCTCCAAAGCAGATTTGTTTTAAAGTGGTGTGAATTTCTGTTGAGCATTTCTTTTGTGGTTGAAAGGATCTTTAGTGTAGCTTTGTTGAGGGTTTTCTGAGTGATTGTAAAACTTCCTAGCTTGACTAAGTGAGGCTTAGGGCAAGGAGGAAGTGCTCCCTCCATTGTACATCTAGTTGATCTTCGTTCATCAAAGAGAAGTTGCTCTTCCTAGTGTTTAGTCTTCAAGTTTGGGTAAAGCTTGGTAGACACTTGGTTTGTTTCTCTATTTTACATTTCTGTTTAATAAAATCTTCATTGCTTATCTAAACTTGCTTCTCTGATCAATATTGCTATTGTCTTCTAATCTACTTGGTTGATCATTACTAAAAAGGAAGGTAAATTTTCATTAGAGCAAAAAGTGCATATACTTGGTTAAGATTTTAATCAAACCAATTCACCCCCCCCTCTTGGTTGTCTGTGGGACTTACAATTGGTATCAGAGCTTGGTCTCCTTGAGATTAAGCTCTAACGGCTTGGAGTAAAGATGACAACCAGTCATGCTATGTTTGTTGAGGGGCAATCTGTTACTAGGCCTCCCATGTTCAGTGGCTCTAACTATGTTAGCTGGAAAGAACGGATGATTATCTTTTTACAATCTATTGATATTGAACTATGGTTTATTGTGAGTGAAGGACCGCATGAAGCTAACTTTCTTGATGCAGATACAGGGCTGCTTCGGCCAAAAATGAGAGCTGAAATGAATGCTCAAGACAGGACTAACCTCACATTGAATGCCAAGGCCATGAATGTTCTTTATAGTGCCTTAGATTCAAATGAATCAATTAGAGTGAAAGGCTGTAAATCAGCCAAAGAAATGTGGGATAAGTTAAGAGAAATCCATGAGGGTGGTGACAATGTGAGAGAACAGAGAAAGGCCATCTTGGTCACAAAGTATGAATCATTTAAGATTGAACCTCTTGAGGATATTGACAAAATGTTTTGCAGGTTCACTGACTTGATCAAAGATCTCGAGGTGTTGGGCAAAGAGTACACCTTGGGAGAGAAGAACAGAAAAATTCTCAATGCATTGGGCAAAGAATGGGAAAATAAAGTGACTGCAATAGAGGAGGCTAAGGATTTAAGTTCTGTGCCTATTGAATCTATCATTAACTCACTAACCTCTTATGAGTTAAAACTGAAATCTAAAGTGCAGGAGGAAGAGGATGCTAGAGCAAAAAGAAATATTGCTCTAAAGACTACTCAAAGTGAAGATGATCCAGCTCACTTGGATGATGAAGATTCGGATGGTGATGATAATGATCTTGCTCTCATCACAAGAGGCTTCAAAAGAATCTTGAATAAAAGAAAGTTCAGAAAGGGAGGACCTAACAATCAATTCCAAAATTATTCATCAAATGCAAGGAACAAAGGAAAACAAGAATTCAACAAGAAGCAAGTGGACAAATGCTATGAATGTGGACAGCCTGGACACTATGCAAACGAATGCCCCATGAAGAAAATGAAAGATGGAAAAGCTGATCGAAAGCCAAGATTCAACAACTTCCAGATTACTTGGAATGAATGCAACTCTGAAGGGGAAGTTGAAGAAGAGGAAGAATCAGCTCAAATGGCCTTCATGGCTATTGGAGATAATGAGGTAACTTCCATACACTCTCAATCTGAAAGTGATGATGAAGAAGATGATGATCTTGAATCCTTTGTTGAAAAACTGCATAATGCTTTGAAGGAATCTTATGATAAGAACAAACAGCTAAAACAGAAAATTGCTTTTCTCATTCATGAAAATGCATGTCTCCTTCAACAAAATAAACAACTAAAAACTGACAATGAATGTCTTGTAAGAGCCGGATTTGATGTTCAGAATGAGCTTGATAGAAAGACAAATATTTGTAAAATGCTGAACGAAAGACATGGTGATTTAAAAAGGAGAATGGACAACTTGGATGAGACTTTGAAAGCAAGGAAGCAGGAGTTTATCAAAAGGAACATGTCACCTACACATCCTACTATTTTTCAAAGAACATTTGCACACAACAAAAATGCACATGGTTTCACAACATATAGAAAAGGTGGATTAAGATATGTCAAACCAGTACATGTTAAGGACTCTTCCATTATGTGTGGTTTTTGTTGTCAAAGAGGGCATTTGAAAAGTGATTGCTATGTGAAAAGAAATCTGAACAAAGGGATGAAATGCATGTGGTTAGTTAGATATAATGCTAACTATTATGGACCCAAAAATTAAAATGGGTACCAAACACTTTCTCTTTTCAGGAAAAATGCTCACACAAGTCCAAATGGTTCATTGATAGCGGTTGTTCAAGGCATATGACCGGTGATCCCGCTTTGTTCATAAAGCTGAAATCAAGATCAAGTGGAAAAGTGACATTTGGTGATGATGTGAAAGCTAAAACAATTGGAATAGGTGATGTTGGTAAGGATGGTGAAACTTTTGTTCATAATGTGCTCTTAGTTGATAACTTGAGTTATAATTTGCTTAGTGTCAGTCAATTGTGTGATAAAGACTTGAATGTATTGTTTAGAAAGCATGAATGCATTGTGATTGATTCCAAATACAATGTTGTGTTCAAAGGTAAGAGGTTCAACGACATATATATTGTGATTCTTGATAAAATTGATTCTTCTAGCTTAAAATGTCTTAAAGCTTCAAATGAAGATCCTTGGTTGTGGCATAGAAGACTTTGTCATTTTAACATGGAGTTACTAAAGGAAATTTCGAAAAAGGAGCTAGTTAGAGGCTTGCCAAAAATCAGTTTTGAAAAGGATAAAATATGTGATGCATGTCAATTTGGAAAGCAAACAAAAGTTTCTTTTAAACCAAAGAAGTGTGTATCTACTTCCAAACCTTTAGAACTCTTGCATCTTGACTTATTTGGCCCTACTCAAATCTCTAGCTTGGGTGGTAAGAAGTACTGTTTTGTGATTGTAGATGATTATTCTAGATACACTTGGGTAATATTTCTTGCTCATAAGGATGATGCATTCAAGAATTTCACTTCATTGTTTGCTAAAGTGCAAAATCTGTTTGGATTAAAAATTGTTAGAATTAGAAGTGATAATGGAACAGAATTCAAGTATTGTGGTTTTCCAGAATTTTGTGATCATAATGGCATAACTCATGAGTTTTCTATTGCAAGAACTCCACAGCAAAATGGTGTTGTAGAAAGGAAAAACAGGACTCTCCAAGAGGCTGCTAGAACTATGTTAAATGAATGTAGGTTGCCTAAATATCTTTGGGCTGAAGCGGTAAACACTGCATGCTATGTGATGAATAGAATTCTCTTGAGACCTATCTTAAAGAAAACTCCTTATGAGCTGATTTTTGATAAGAAACCTACAGTTGGTTATTTCAAAGTATTTGGTTGTAAATG